TTTTCAGCGAAACTTGCACCAAAATTCGACGGTCCATTCAAAGTACAAAAATTTATATCGCCAGTGTTAGTAGAGCTTAGTGCAGAAAATACAGCAACATTAACTAAGGCGCATATTGCTGACCTTAGGGTACACTATGGTTGTCTTTAAAATATAAAGGACATTAACACTTATGTACCGGCAAAGTAACTGCAACATAAAACAAATACCCGCTATCTATTCAAGTATTTAAAGAACGTGTGCCATGAGGAAGTTCTCAGTCGTCTTTTGAACTAACAACGAAATTTGAAATTTCCGCGGAAAAGTTTCGCACAAGAATGATCGAAATAAACAACAGTAGAACAAAATGTCAATACTTGCCGAAGCCTGCAGCAATCAATAAAAACTCCAAGAATATGTTGAAGCAAAGTACAAAAAAATCGTCAAGCGTAAGGTGGGTCCAAGTGACTCCAGCCAGCACCAACATCCAATAGCTGAAAATAGTCAAGCGATTCCAGGTATTACTTCAAGTGACAGAAATCAAGCATCTACGGCTCAAGGGAGGAGGTTAAAAATAAGAGCGTAGTAATCACAGCAGCGGAACCTTCGGCAAAAGGAATAGGTAATTATGTCGCTAATACAAAAAATCCAACGTGTTACGTTACGTCACTAATGGCAGGAACAATATCGACAGAACCCAGTTCCAGTGAATCCTGCATAACTCACGCAATGGAACAAGAGGATGTGATTGATCTCGACTACGACTGACAACAAATGGAGCTGGAGGAGAATGAGATCGCACGCCCCAAACAAAAAAGGGTTTGCATCACTTGGCCGGCGGAGCTGGAATCGACTATACGCGACGCACTTACTTAACATATAAAAGTTAAACGAATTACCTACCGTCGAACGTTCAACAATATACTGTATCTGGTGCGAATTTACCGTCAAGATCTCGTGACTGTCCATAGTCTCCACAAACCGTAAGAAGGAGAGGAATGTACATAAATAAACATTCTACACCTCATTAATTTTTTTATATCCAAAATTGTTGTTATGAAGTCTCTGTTATATATGAATAAAATTGAGAAAATATATTTTATGAGAAATATCTAATACGTATCTTAATGGTCTTGTTTTTAATAAATTAACCCACGTTGGAATTTAATATTTCTGTTGTATAGATTTCCAACAACAATTACCCAGACTACCCACAACTGCAACACGTGAAGTAGTCTGAAGTTAGGAAAATTAAAATTAACATTAAATTGGTAAAATCATAAATACACACCTTCTGGATTTACCACAGCTACTTTAATGTACTTATAAATTATTTACTTGCACATTATTTTTTATAAATCAATAAACGACGTTAAAAATTACAAATACCGGTGCTGGTTATAAAGTCAAAACCAAATAGACAAACGTCAGAATCATCAAGAGAATTCGCCGCAAAGAGACGATCAGAACCACCACCAAACAATAGAAAAAACACTGTAAGTGAGCTACATGAAAAGCTCGTCTGATCAGTATAAAAGGCGACGCGTTTCGTTAAGAGGCACTGAGTCTTGAATGATCACTGAGTGGTATTATATGTCAACCAATAAAATAACATAACAAATATTATCTGACACGAAGGCGGTGTTAAATCGTAGTGTATAACATAATACAAAATATATATATAATAGTTTACGAGCATAAGGCGGTTTTAAGTCAACGCGCTTGGACACCATTATATGTATATTCAATATATCAAGCGTATATTCTTTTACTTTCTTTCCCAAACAGGTGAACACAGAAACAAGGTGAACCAAGCCAACTACAAGTTTAGACTAAAGACCATTTGTAATTTCACAGAGGTAATCATTAAAAGTAAGACCATTGGGAATTTTTGTTCATGCTGATTTCATTTAATTTCTTCCTTTTGTATATATATTAT